TAAGGAGGGACCGGAGCGGGTGGAGGAAGAACGAGGAGGTTCCGGAACAAGGGGAAAGTGCATAAAGAAAACGGGGGCGGGGGTGTCAGGAGAGGTCACGGGACAGCAGGTGTGCGAGGGCTGAACAAGGAGGAGAGTATTCCAGGAATAAATGTGCGCACGGAGCCCGCGAGCGGGTGAGGGAAGGGTGTCCCAAGTGTGTCTGCAGCAAGGGCCCAGAGGTTTTCAGAAGAGAGATGTTGGGGGGGGGGGCAAGGGAAGAGCTAGCGAGAGTGGAGCGCACAGGGCCATGGAGCGTGGCAGGAAAAGCAGTGTGTGCGAGGGAAACAGAGCTGCGGGCCTCGCGGGACGGAAGCCAAGGCCAAGTGTGCAAGACAGCGAGAGGGCAAACTTGTGCAAAATTGTAGCCCAGGGAGGGGAGAGAGGCAAGCAGGCGTGCAAAGGAGCGTGCAAGAGGCTGGGGGCCGCTGTGTGTGCTGGGGACAGGGGACGGCGGGAGAACAGAGGGGCCTGGAGATGGGGGAAGGGTTGTTAGGGGGTGGCAGGTGGTGGAATCTGAGGGCACCCCCTTCCCCTGCGGCCTGGGGGATGACCCCCACCCAGTCAGGCTCAGGGCTGGCCCTCTATGGCTCTGTCTGTCCCCCCCCCAGAATCGACCCTTCCCTCCCCCATCCCGCTCTGTGATTTCTTCTATTCCCACCCCCTCTGCTCCCGCTTCACAGTCTCGTATTAGCTGCCCCCTCCTATGAGGTGCAAATGTCCGGCCGGATCTGGCCACCTGGTGACCTCCAGCCTTGGGAGATGAGGGCAGGGCACGGTTGTAGCAGAGTCCCTGGCCCAGGGCGAGAATAACGGTTGGGGGTCAGAGGTCCAGAGGCCAGCAGGCTGAAGGGCTCTGTGGACGGGCTGGTCCGTCCAAGCCAGCCATCACCTCTCCAGGAAAAACTTGAGAGCCCGGTCGATGTTCATGCGGTGGCCCACCCTGGTCACACCCAGATCCACGTAGTCCTCCTTGGTCAAGGCGGGAAGGTGGGAGCCATCGATCTCGTGGTCCAGGAAGCGGGCTCGGTGCTCCGACAAGCCCAGCCACTCGAGCCAATCAGCCACGTCAAACTTGGTCCAGAACCCCAGAGGTTTCGCGCCGAACGGCTTGTCCGGGGGCAGCGAAAGCAGGCGGGTTGGTGAGAGGGAGCGGGAGGCCCCCGACAAGGCTCCACCAAGCCCCCCGGACATCCCCGGGTGCGGTGGCACAAAGACAGGGGCGAAGGGGTCAGCCGAGCCTCCTGCCCCTCCAGTGGGAGAGCTGCGGATGTCAAAGAGGCCCGGATAGAGGGGTCCAGAAGGCAGGATGGGCAGGGACGAGGGCCGGGGCGCAGGGCTGACCTTGTGCTCCGAAGTGGGCAGCAGCGAGGGGCTGGGGGCCCGGCGGAGCAGAGGCGGCCGCATCTCGAATTCCACACCCTGGAGGTGGCGAGTGGACGTGGAGGAGGCTGAGGGTGAGGTGGCCCCTGGGGCCGCAGCAGCTGAATGGGGGACCCCGGTTCCTGTGGGGAGTGGCGGCAGAGGTGGTTTGGGCCAATTCTGAAACAGGCTGCTGACGGGTTTGGAGAGGAGCGAGGACTGGGAGTCTTCCGAGAGTCTGGAATGTGACAAGGGGGCGGGGTGGAGGAGAGGGGTTTGGGGGGTAAGAGCAGGGTGAGAAAGAGGGAGGTGAAGATGTAGGGAGAGAGGAAGAAAGACATAGGGGCGGGGTGGAGAGATGGAGGGGAGAGATGGGGGGAGAGAGGAGCGAGGGGGCAAGATGGGTGCCAGGACAGAAATGCAGGGAGAGAGAAATGAGAGGACAGGGAGAGGGTGACAGTCAAGAGAGATGAAAGAAAAAGAGACATTAAGTGATAATAATAATAATCGCCACCACTTACTGATGCTCACGTGTGCCAGGCATTGTTCTAAGTGCTTTACATGTCGCATCTCAATTTAACCCCCGTGACAGCCCTGATTCAGGTTACTGTTATTATCATCAGCACAGAGAGGTTAAGTAACTTGCCTAAGGACACACAGCCAGGAAGTGGCAGAGCCCGGTTATATGGCACCGAAGTCTGAGCTCTTAACCACTATTCTATACTGCCTTTTGGGTATGGCCAGTCACAGCAGAGTGGAAGACAGGGAGACGGTGGGAGAGGACAGAGAGGGTGAGCGTCGGGGGAGACAGATGGACGGGGACAGGGAGCAGAGAGAGAGAGAGAGATGAGGAGAGGGAGATGAAGGAGAGAAGAAACAAGGGGAGGAGAAGGTTCCCCTCATCCCTTTAGCTCCCTCCAGAACGGTGCAGCCTCAGGGCCTTTGAACTGCTGTTCCCTCCGCCTAACTCACTGTCCCCCCAGGTAGCTATGGGATCTGCTTCCTCCCCTCCTCCAGTCTCTCATCTTGCTGTTGAGGGGCCTTCTCCAACCGTCCCACTGTATTTTTCTTCCTAGGATGACTGCAGTGATCTCATTGGCCTCTACCTCTGCCTCATTAGGCTCTGAGCTCTACGAGGGCAGCACTTTGCTTGTCTTGTCCACTGGGGGGCCCCTCTGACCCATAAGGATACTCAGCACATAGTAGGTGGTAAATCAGTAATAACTGGTTCAGCTGTTGCCTAAATTAAGTACCCTTTTCTCTACCCAGAATACTTAAGAATACTCAGTGAGTAGCCATAAGCTCTCAAAGGCCTGGTAAGACCACACTTGAATATCAGCTAGGACATCAGACCTTCAAACAGAATTAGAGTGAGCTCTGCGGATGGACAAGGGGATTAAAAGACCCCTCCCCAGTCTCTGTGTCTGAATCAGGAACAGGGCTCTACTTTCCCTAAGACTGGGTCTTGAGTGAACTTGAACTCTGGCAATCCTGGCTAGCTGGCTGCTTTGGAAACCTTCGGCATCACCCCGTATTTCCCCATCTATACTTGCTGGGCTTTTGTAGGAGGCCCCACCCCTCCCCCATCTCATCTTCTAGCAATGGCCTCAAAAACCCTTTTAGGTGGGTACTGTGCTGTCCCCCTTCTACAGAGAGGTGGACTCCTTTGCCCTAGGTCACCCTGTTAGAAAGTGCAGGGCTGGGACCAGAACCACACCCATAACCACTGTGCCCTAAAGCATCTTGTCTTGAGTCACAGTGGCCTCAAGGGACTTGCAGATTTCAGGGATCTTCAGAACTGACAACCCGCCAAGGGAACAGACATCGGCAGGTTGCGCTCCAGTCTCCTTTGTTAATAACTCTTTCTGTTCATCATGGGATGTGGGTTGTCATGGTGACAGGAGGAGGCCACAGAAGCTACTGAGATAAAGGGGCGATTAAAGCATCTGTGAGAGCGTGCTTCTTAGAGAGCCAACTCCACCAAGCCGGCCAGGCTTCTGTTTCCTTTCTACCACCTGCAACCCTAAGGGGACATGGCTCTGGGGAAGGTGGACCCCCAGTACCCACAGCATCAGCTCCTCTGGCCTTCGTTGCCAACCTCCAGCCCCTGCTCACCTCTGACGCTGCAGGGAGGAGGTCCTCTCGGGGATGTAGCTGGCTCCCCCGTGGTGGCTGTCCCCACTTCCCCCGCTGCCTCCCCGGGCCCAGGGCAGAGCGCCACCAGCTGCCGAGGAGCCCCCAAACTGCTGGAGCTTGGAGCTGAGTTCGCTGATGATGCTGGCTTTTACTGTGGCCAAGGCTGAGGCCTGAGGCTGGGCCAGGGGCCCGGGCAGGGGCGGTGGGGGCGGGCCCGGGCCCTCCTCCCAGGGCAGCAGCTTTCGCGGCAGGGAGGAAGCAGAGGACAAGGGCACTGGTGGGCCTTCTGGCTCTACGGCTACGGGACCCCCAGTCACACCTGCCGCCGAAGGTCCTGAACAACCACTCAGGGCCAACAGCCCATCGGTCCCAGCCCCTGTCACCGAGACGGTAGGGCTCGTAGGAGTGACAGGGTCCCGGAGGCCCCCACCCGGGCCGGGCCGCAGGCCGCCGCTGGCCCCCAGCGCCCGGCCCCGGAGCTTCGAAGGAGTCATGAGCTGCGGAGGGTACGGTGGGCCGGGGGTGCCGCTCCCTCCGAAGGCCTGGCCGTCCAGATAGGCCACATAGGTGTCCAGCA